AAAGAGTATACTCAGACTACGCCCTCAAGATCTCAGATTTGCAAAATCAGCGGCCAGATTGAGTCCTTGTTTTAGGGCATACTCACGCAGGGGTGGCATAGCAGCAAAATCCGTGAAGTTTGCTATCCTGATTTTGCTGAAATGCCACCCCGCCTGGTCACATGGCGGCAGCAAATCACAAAAGACACCATCCGGACTTTCTGGCAATTGCCAATGGCGCCTTGCGTGGTCATGCAGTACGAGGCCCAAATCCTTCCCCTTAGTTTTTTTTCAGAAAAGTTCATTTCAAATTTCCTTTCATGAACTCTTGAACTGAAGAAAAAAAAAGTGCTACCACCTCCAGAGGTGGTAGCAAAATTCCCCTCCCCGCGGCCCGCCAGGCCGCTGACATTTGATACCCCGTTTGCTGCTTGCCACTTTTTCTGCCTCGTGCGACTTGCCCAACCATCAAATTTTAACTGTTTTGCCATAAAAGGCCCTTAGCTAGTGTGAGTAGACCCTTCGAAGGACTAGATCTGGCAGCTGATTTTGCTATTCTGAGATCTTGAAGGCCTAGTGTGAGTTTGCTCTTACCTCATTTCTTTTTGTTTTCTTTTCATTTTTTCACAAGACCTTACCCACCACCTTTTCCGGCACACCTGCCACTCCCTCAGTACTACCTCAGTGTCTACCACTCAAGCCCATCACCCCTCTACCCTTTTTTGGGGGGGATGACCTCACCGGGGGCTCGGTCCCACCTATGCATTTTCGTTGTAGGAGGCTAGGCTACCACGGAAAGAATGGCGGGCGCCTAAGGACCATGGATTGACGAGATCACTGGTCCCTAGACGCCCACCTGTCTCTTCGTAGTAGACTCCTACAACGAAAATGCGCAGATGGGACCGAGCCCCGGATAGCAGTTGTGGGCATCAGCCCTGACCAGGATATCCCATTCAGCCCTGGTTGAAGCAGATTAGAATGATTCTTGTTGCTGTTGTCGTTGTTTGTTGTTGTTGTTTGTTGTTGTTGTTTTTTTCTGGGGGGGGTACTTTGGGTGCTATGGTAGGCGTGATACAGGCCCCGTGAGTAGGCCCCAGATGCCCCCCAAGATTCTGTACACCGTCCCTTTATTTCTCCATACAGCCCCCCTGAGGAGACCCCGAATGCCCCCCGAGATTCTGTACTGGGTCACTTTATTTATCTGCTGCCCTGCAGTTTTTTTGAAAAGGACCTTTGGCATGACCATCTCCAATTATTTTCCAGGTTTAGGGCCTCGCTGCACTAACTCTTGATGCCGGGTCCTTAATTTCCATTCAAGAGCTGTCAGATTCACTCTCGAAAACCTCGAGAGTGAGTCATCGCTGCACTAACTGTGGAAAAGTGCTCTTGGTCCGGCTTTCAAGAGGTGTCGGACACGGCCCATCAGACGAGCTCTTGAAGCTTCCACAGTTCCCGCCTGCAGGGGCGTTTTTTTCAAACGAGGCCGACCGGACCCTTTGTGCGGTTTGCAAATTCGAGAGTTGGCCTCAAGTCTCGGTGGACAAATAGTCGCTGCCCTGTCGTGTAGTGTCTTTTCAGTTTCTCAAACTTTTTTCTTTTTTTACTCGTGTTCGTTTTTTTTTATTCTTCTCTCTCTCTCTCTCTCTCTCTCTCTCTCTCTCTCTCTCTCTCTCTCTCTCTCTCTCTCTCTCTCTCTCTCTCATCCCACAGTAAAGAATGCTCACGAGAGTCGAGAGTCCGGAGTAAGTGCAGTGGCCACAGCACTTGATGCCAATCCAGGGGTCTGACAGCACTAGATGTGCTCTTGAAAATTTTCATGTGTCTAGCATAGTGCAGCAAGGCCAATCTGCGACCAGAGAATCTGGGCAAAAGGCAAACAGTTCCTCCATTGTTTTTTGTTTTTTTGAAACCATCCACCAGGAGCCCTGCTTATCTCCGCGTTAAACCACCAGTACTTGGGTGACGCCTTAGCGTTAACACTACGAGAATTTCGCTACCCGCGGGCCATCGATTTATCGTATCGACAGCCCGCGCCGCTTCGAAAAAGGTGCGGCCGGCGCGGCGCGCAGTGCCCAAGTACTGGTGGTTTAAGAGCAACCCCCATATTGAAGGCTCAATCTTTTGGTGGGGAGCAGCACCTCCTGCAATTTGGATCCAGAGTCCCGTAGAGGGCCTCGTTAGACCCTCCTTGGAAAATCCTCAGGAATTAGGATGAAGTCCTTGGAAAATTTTCCGGTTTTCGGCGTCGTCGTTACACCGCGTCCTAATTCAATGGGTTTCAAGGAAAACCCTTGGAGGTCTCCAGCGGCCAATTTCATACACATACGCGCGGCTGCGGGGTTGCATGTCCGTCATCGTCCTGGGATGTCCGTGCGTCCTCGGGCGTGGTCCAGTGGCAGCGGCGGGGAGGCCTACCGGGCTGACGAAGAAAAAGGGCGCCAAAATCCCCGTTCCAATTTCAAATTTTGAACCCTCCGTTGTGACACATCCATGCGTGAGGCGTCCTGGCGGCTGGACTTGAGACTAGGGCGAAACGTCTGTGCGGAGGAGTGATGGCGGACATGGCTTAAAAGGAGGGCATTGGAACGCTGGGGGATGTAGCATGTATGCGACGTCGCCTTCGTGTTCTGCATGCTCTTCGGGCCATCACAGTTTAGCGCGAGCGTAACGCTTCCGTGAAACGTGGAAAGTGCGAGCGCGGTCCCCATCGATGTGCAGAAGGTGCAGCGAGGGCGCCGGCAGGCGAACGAGTGGTGGGTGCTTGATCATTGCAAGTCCTGACGATGGAAAGAGAGCTCCCGGGTGGTGCGAAGGCATTAACGGCATTGGAGAGAAACACGGTGGTCGCAACTGCGTCAGTCATCGCCATGCGTTATCGCATTGAGAGAACAACAACTCGCCTGACGATGAGATTGTCCGTTCGCAGGCAGAGGCAGGTAATGAAATAAGTGATGGCTGCACCGGATTGTGTGTCGTTATCGGAATCCATTGTGCAATTCTGTTGCGCCATGGCATCGGGTGGGATCCCGTGGGCGACGCCGAGATGGTGGATGAGGAGAAGGATGGGAGGGACATGGGAGGATCTCCGACAGGTTGACAACACGGCGGAGGGTTACTACTACAAGGAGAAGCTGCGGAGTGGAGTAGTCAATGGCGCCCGTCGGCTGTCTGCTGGAGGTTTCCTGCCTGTCCATCGTCGTCTTCCTCACCGTTTGTGGTTTCTGTCTGCTGCCAGGACCCCGCACAACGACGCACACGTGGAACAACACGGCAAGGAGCAGGAGAAGAGTGGCCAGCAGCACGAGTGGGAACCGCCGGAGGACGTCTGCCATAAATCGCAGCATGCGAGGCATGTACCACACAAAGCTTGCATGAATGCGCCTGACAATAGCCAACAAAACACGCTAGGCAGATCCCTGCAATCGACTAACAGTGCTTCAACATCTCTTGTAGACACATAAAAAAATTTGACCGTTGGACACCACGGCCGGTGACTCGCGCATGGAAAACCCTGCTTCGTGATGCGCCTTGCAGCTGAAGAACCACCCCCACACATTTCCACGCCAACGGTAACGGTGGAAGGCCATTGGGGGCCCGTCGGGTACTGGAGGCCGGCGATGTCCGCCGATTGGACCACGGACGACTTGTGCACCAACATCAATTTCAAATTTTCCTGTTGCGCGCTCGCTCCAGAACACTCCGTCAATCGCGACTCCTTGAACCCAAGGGACCTCACGAGGACCCCTTGAATCCAAGGAAATCTCTCAGGAGCATTTTCACATTCATTTAAGGAATTTGGTGAATTAGGACGTGGTGTAACGACGCCGATTTCCTAAAATTCGGATTTCCAAGGAGGGTCAACGAGGCCCTAAGTGTGTGCTTGCTTGGTCTTTTTCTGTTTTTTTTTTTTTTTTTTTTTCAGTTTTTTGAAAGTGTATGCTGTGCCCTGAGTAGCAGTGGCAACGCTGTGATCCTGTTCCAATGTGGTGATGCATTTCAAGAGCTGAAACTACCGACTACCGTGTCTAGGCTGTCCACCCCTCTGCTTTCCACATTATCTGTCTATTCTATGGAAGACTCTTACTACCCTGCAAAGAGCCTCGGAGTCCTCATTTTTTTTTTTTTTTTTTTTTTTTTTTTTTTTTTTTTTTTTTTTTGGAAAATCACGCGGGTGGATGCTAGGGGTGCTGCTTGAATTCATTGAATGAGGGTTTGTCTCGAGAGATAATAAGGGGTCACATCAATGTTTAATTTTGCCCTAGGTTTGTTTCATGTACAGAACCCAGCCCCTTGTTCATCTCTCCATGCCAGCCCATTGACCTCTTCCATAGTTGCAGCTTTTTGCAGTATGGCGATCATTCAGGCTAAAAGGGATCCAGGAGCTGATCTCTTCCAGATCATTTTGATGTGGAGAAATGAGATTTTGGTATTTCAAACATATATCTGAGGCAAGGGACCTCACAAGTTCAGACCACTGGACCCATATGGCTGGAGCCTCTAGCCAAAAGACAAGGGACCCCACAAGCTCTGTGCTGGCATGTCGGCACAGCTTGGTGGACAGCAGGAATTCGCCTCCGCAAAACGAGGCTCTGATGGACCGCTGGTTTAGCTCCCCACCAATGGATGGAGCCTTTGACGCTGGGACCCACTCAGTGGGGCTGCTCGTGGATTTCCCCCCATATGAAGGTTCCCCCCCCCCCCCCCCACACACACACACCCCAAAAAAAGAAGAAAAAAAAAAGAAAAACAAAAAATAGAAACAAAAAAAAGGACTGCTGGGCAGGCTGCTGAAAAACACATCTGGTCAGGCACCCCCCCAGACGAAGCGTGTGCAGGCACCCCCTTCTGGGCTAACGCTCAAAGGGGAGACATCGCAACAGGTGCCTGATACAGCGACTGGGAAACACCATACCACACAGGGGGGCACATGGAAGGACATGCTGACCAACCACAGCTCCCCTCGTCAGCCACCGGTGCCGGGACCCGATAAATCTAAGACGTCACGCCCTCAGTTACTTAGAGCACTGTCGGCCCCAGCAAGGGCCGATGCGATCAGCTCCTCCTCTCTCGACCCTATGGGCCCGCTCAAGAGTCACCTTATCCAACAATTGCATGTGGAGCCGGAGAGGAAATTCCAGGTGAGAGATGGATTCATCTGCCCTCACTTGATATTCCCCGCGCAGGCAAAGGCGGCAAGGGATGCAATCTACTCTCACAAGGCGGTGCAATTCCGTTTTCAAGTGGCACAGTCGGGGCTCCCGGTCAACGACAAGATCAAATGGATTGCTGACCTTCTGGGGAAAATTAAACCGGATCGTCAGCTAGTGCATGATCACTTCCTAGTGGAAGTAGATGACCCAGACTGTATCACAGTAGTTGCCCTATACCCCACAAACAAGCATTTGGTCTTGAGGAATAGAGGACTGCGATTCAGGGGCTGCCCGGTGCAACTGTCAGCATGGTCCCTGGCCAACCCCCAATCAACAGATGAAAGGAGGGAGTACCTCATGAGCTCCAATTTCTGGGTTGAATTCAGGTTCGCTCCACTGTCAGTCCAGGGTGCAATACTGACAGATCTGGAGAACATAGCCCCGGTTAAAGGTTATATCACTGTGCTGCCCCAGTTTCTGGAAAAAAGGGATGACCATCTCCTTGTTGCTGTCGAATGGGATCCGGAATATCCCTTCCCCCTCAATGAGGAATGGCGCTATTCTCATGGGGGAAAGGAGCATTCCGTCCCAGTCAGTCATACCCAGGATCCTTGGTGTTATGCCTGCAAGCACAGAGGACACCTCTACACTGACGAAGCATGCCCGAAAAACAGGGACAAGACCAAGATAAAAGGGTTCGTGGTCCCCCACCTCAATGATGAGGAATGGTGGTACCCCGAAGACAGGGAACTCGCGGGATGGATGTTAAGAGTGTATGCAGACGGCACCCCAGGGAAGTGGATATGGCAGGGCAAAGACAAGCCGACGGCCTTTCCCTCGGGGGCCCGGGTACAGGTAGCAAAGGACGCCAAGTTCAAAGGGAAACAGGAGCCTGCCCCGGATCTGCAGACAATCAGCCGCCCCCAGCCCGCCCCGGCAAAACCGCGCCCAGTCCAACCCCGCCCTCAGCAACATTACAGACCAAAACCGGGACCAAAGGGAGACCGCCCATCTACCTCTGAAACCAGGGACCTTCCTGTGGAGGGGGCACCCTGCAAAGATCGACCGCCCGCGCACAAAGACGGATGGCAGAAACTGCCCCCCCCTCTACAGACCACCTCCATTGTGCACTGCAAAGAGATTAAGTCCCAGGTTCAAAAGGAGGAGCATGCGGCCCCCCTAAACAGCAGTGTCCAGGACCAGGGATCCCACGTTGAGACAGGGACAACCGAAGGGAAGAAGGGAACAGAACTGGACCGGAAAGGAGGCGACAAAGAACAACACAAAGACGGACGGCAGAAACTGCCCCCCCCTCTACAGACCACCTCTACTAATGTGCACTACAAAGAGATTCAGTCCCAGGCTCAAAAGGAGGAGCATGCGCCCCCCCTGAACAGCACTGTCCCAGACCACATGGGAGGACAGGGATCCCAGGTTGAGACAGGGACAATCGAAGGGAAGAAGGGAACAGTACTGGACAGGAAAGGAGGCGACAAAGAACAACCCTCCGTGACAGGGACAACCGAAGGGAAGAAGGGAACAAAACAAGATTGGAAAGGAGGCGACAAAGAAAAGCACAAAGACGGACGGCAGAAACTGCACCCCCCTCTACAGACCGCCTCTAATATGCACAGCAAAGAGATTAAATCCCAGGTTCAAAAGGAGGAGCATGCGCCCCCCCTAAACAGCAGGGTCCCAGACCACATGGGAGGACAGGGATCCCAGGTTGAGACATCCGAAGGGAAGAAGGGAACAATACTGGACAGGAAAGGAGGCGACAAAGAACAGCCCTCCGTCCAACAGGGTGCCCACCGCTCAGACCATAACGGAGTGAAGGGTCGGGGCCTCTGTCGGATGGGTGATGCTGCCCAGACTGTGCTCCATTCAGCTCTGGCCGCACAAGGGGAAGGGAGGCCAGACTGCAAGTTGCCCGCTCACGATCCTGCTCCTTCCCGGAAGGCTGTACTGGAGCCCGCCCCGGGCGCGGACGGAGCCTCGAACCGGGACGGACCATCTCTATCCCCCCCGATTGGGGACAACTCAGACCATAAAGAGGGACTGGGTGCCCAGAACAGGATACAAGCGTCTGAGCCCCGGGGGGATGAGCGTCCGGTGCCTTTCTCCTCTCAGGGTGCACCCGGCTCAGATTGGAAAGACCATCTGGCTCATAGCTTGGTACATTCGCCTGACCCCCCCTTGACTGTGATTGAGGCACATCATCTGGCAGCAAAAACTGGGGGCCACAATGCTGTCACAGGACCTGATGGCCTAATAAACGACAGTCAGGCACTGGCCCCCGCGCATGAGCCACCTCAAGGCCACACAGGCACCCGAAACAGGGGCAACAACGACCTGCCCCCCTCTGCTCAGGACGCACCTTACTCAGATCATAAACACCAGAGGCTGGTCACGGGCTCCACACGGCCACAAGGGAAGGACTGGTCATTGGTCCCATCGCAAGAAACGGCTGACGGCCAGGCACTGGTCCGGACTGGGGGTTACAACGGACTACCCCCGCTTGAGAACCCGGACCAGATAGCCCGCCCCCCCTTGATGCAGTCGGAATCACACCACCCGCAACCGAACTGCGGAGTCCCAAAAGCCCGCATGAACTCCGATAGGCCAGCACAAGTGGGCCCGGAACCGGTCCTCCCGCAGCAATTGACTGAGGGCCACGCATTGGTCCTCTCGAAACCAATCACTGCGGACCACGCATTGCCCCTCGTACACGACACAGTTGAACTGCAACACGACAGGGGGAAACCAACACCCACATCGCCACAGCAAATGTGGCTTAAAGCCAACTCGCTACTCAACAAGATAAAGGGTGCGACTTTCCCTCTCTATCGGGACACGAACGCAGACACGGACACATGGCCCGGCAGTGATGTATGCTGTGGTCTCAACGTGGCTGGGGAATCGACGATTCAGAATGTGGGAATACCGGCTCGCGTGAGGGAAGTCGTCTCTCAGATCACAGGGGAGAAGAAGTTCATCCCTGTCGCACAACAGAGTACTACCACTCCAAAACCAAACGCCCACCGGGACCGGTTACACCGGGAAGAGGAAACGGAGCAGCCACAGCGGGACGAAGAGCACCTACCCATCGCCCAACGACAGATCTCGAATGCCCCCTGGAACACCCGACTGATCTCCACCTTGACCACAGTCACTGTCGAACCAGGGAGAGGATAGCGACAACGACGTGGCACAGCAACTGCATACCACGCACTAACAACAACCGCCTCAGGAGCCCCTTCAGGACAACTGCATGGAGGAAGCACAACAGTTTGACTCTGACCCCCACCACCATGTGGCTCATCACCTGCAAGGTGACCTGCCTCTCCTTGGCTACCAGCAGTTGCACGCGCTGCATCTGCAACAGCATCAGCAAACATGGCAAAATGCGCAACAACAGCTGGCATGGTAGGAGCAAGCCCAACAGCAGGAGCAAGCCCAACGAGATGAGCAACAAAACTTGCACTATGCGCAAATACAAGTTCTACATCAAACAGCGCAACAAGCTAACGTGCTTCAACAACAACAGGTCATGCAACGGAAAAAGTTCGAGGAACAATACCGCATATTGCTGCAAACCCAGCTCGCCCACTACCACCACCAACAACATCAACAACGGATGTTACAACAGCAACAGCTCCTCCAACATATGCATATACAGTGCCAACAACAACTGTGTTGCCAACAACAACAAGTTCTGCACCAACAACAAGAACAACTGCAGTCGTTTTGGCAGCAACAAACTGCACTCCAAAACCACATATCGTTAGCCTCGGACCGGCTGCTGCCAAGCGACACAAGTGAGAGGGTCCTTTGCATTGAAGCAGGCAGTGCTCAAGATATGAACACCTCCGGCCCCGAAGGGGCCGATCTCCAACACTCATAGTTACCGACAGACATGGACATTCAGGTCGCTGTCCTGGTGCCACCAGAACTCAGCGCAGACAGCCCGCCTCCCCCACCCCCTCCGTTGGCAACCAACGATGAGGTTAAGCAAAAGTTGGACTTCCTCATGGAATGGACCTTGGTCAAGATCTTCTCGCTGTCCGAAAATAAGCCTGCGGAAAGACTCAACAATAAACATTGGAGGGAGGCCAAAATTGTCCTTATGTACATCCCCCGTGTCTTGGCGACTGTTGAAAAGTACGACAACGTGTCGGTCATAGACTGGATGGACGTCGGGGCTGCCATAGTCCTCGTAGTGAACGAATTCTTGGATAAAATAGAGGAATATGCGACTATGGTGTTTGGGATTGGGGAAGGGACCCCCGCCCAGCACCCTGCGCACCCGCAAACAGAGGCATTCTGCCATGAAGGCCTCGCTTGGCCTAAAGTACTCATCCACGACCTGTGTGACACGCTGCACAACCTCCCACACGAGGACCCGCCGGATAAGGGGAATGCTCGATGGCCCGCTGCAGCAGACCGTCAAACATGCTCCCCCCCTTCACAACAGATTGCTTCTCAGTCCCAGCACAAACAATGTCTAACCCTGCAGCCTGCCTGTGTCTCAACTCAAGCCACAGCCATGGTACATCTACCGCCCAAAAGGATGGGCCAACTGGTGCGACTGGAGGATGACGATGAGGTTTCGATTGCTAAGACACCTGGGGTGGTCATCTTTCCGGGTCTTAGGCAGCCTCAACACCATCATTCTCTGCAGCAACCTATCCCCCAGGACAGACTGACGCTGGAAGGCTGGAAGGGCAACCCGTCTACGGTGGTCATCCAGAAAAGACTTAAGTATTGGGTCAAGGAGACGTGTACGGAAGGGGTGTTGGGAGTCGTCTTGCCCACCTCTCTCACATTTCTGAAAGGTATCATTCCGGTCCTCTTGCTTATTGACCCCAAAATCAGACTGAAGAAAAGTGCTAACCTCAGCTGGTTTACACACCAGCTGCTGATGAACTTTGATGTTGCACGGTTCACAGCCAGCGGGACTTGGACGCAACCTCAAATTCTTACCTTTATGCAACTGTTCCTGGAGGACGTGTTGCAAGAACAAAACCAGTGGGATGACCCCCTCCATGTCCTCCCCATCAAACAGGTTGCCTGAGGAAGCTGTGTGCTGTGTGTTCAACCAATGACTTATATTGCTGCATTATGATGCATCACACTGGCTTGAGGACCGAGCCCTGTGCTAGCCAGGACTCGATGCAATCTCACGGAATTCTGGACATGGGACTGCCGCCAACCACCAACCTCGCTTTCCCTGCACCTCCCACCGTTGCACCGACTTCACCCGCTCACCAACAGCAACCCCATCCACCCCCGCGGCCCCCATCCCAACCGACTCCGCCCGCGCACCAACAGCAACCCCACCAGCCCCCGCGGCCCCCGTCCCCACCTGTTTTTCCCCGGATCAGAAACCCCCCTCAATGGGCGGTCAAACTGGCCAGGGCAGACATAGACATCCGGTCACTCAATGTCAATGGCCTCATCCAAGCAACACCAGATAAAAAGAAAGTCATATGGGATATGATCAAATCCCCGGTGTCTGGAGGGTGGCCAGATGCAGTGTGCATTCAGGAAACTCACCTCCAGCATACACCCCAGATCCCAGCACACAGCAAAGGCTAAATTCATATGGCCCTACACAAGCTTCTCAGCGCCAACAATCAATGGAGCATCGGTCGGGGTTACAATATGGCTTCCGCCGTCCTCTAAACTCAAACCGCTGTCAGTACAACACGATCACCAGCAAGGACGCAGGGTGTGCCTCAAAGTGGCTTTTGAGGGCGAAGAGTTTTACCTCGTTAATGTGTATGTACCCAATGACCCCGTCGACAGGGTGGACTTGTGGCTAACCCTGCTCCAAAACGTCCCTAGAGATGCGCCCGTCATTATGATAGGGGATTTTAACACAACCCTTGACCCGGTGATGGACCGTAGGTCCTCCTCCCAAAGGGGGGACCCGGATCTCCCCTCTTTACCGGAACTGGGCCCGAACGTACAGATGCTAAGACAGCTGATGGCAGACAGGGAACTTGAGGATGTGTACAGAGTGCTGCACCCGGCTTAAAAAACCTACACCTGTTTATCCTCGAGAGGCACCCGAGGCTTGGCAAGCTCGCGAATAGATCTTGCTCTCGTGTCGAAGGAACTGATGGGCTTGACTACAACAGCCGAAATAGCTGCAATCAGCCCGTGTAAGTCCTTTGATCACAGAATGATAACTCTGGGTCTCTCCTTTCACACTCAAATCAAGAGAGGCCCAGGCTTCTACAAGCTGAACACTTCGCTGCTGCAGCTCACAAAATTTAAGGAAATGGTGCAGGAATTTTGGCAATACTGGCAATCCACCAAACCACAGGCTCAACCGGAAGCAGCTCAAACTGTGACCTGGTTCAATGACGGGATTGCCCACTTGAGAGACAGAGCCAAGAAATTCTTCATCCAGACCGCGAGAGACCGCAAGGCGATAATCGATCGCCTTATGCGAGAGCTTGAAGATTGGGATGCGGTCATCACAGACGACCCGCAACACATCCTTTCCTTTGAAAAGCTACAAGCAGCAAGAGACCACCTTCAGGCCTATATAGACAGACAATCGCAGGCATGGAGGATTCAAACTAGAATAAAAAGAGAACACACCGATGGAACGATGGCAAAATCTTTCTTCGCTAAAGCGAAAGCCCGCACGCGGGCCTCGGCTGTCTCGCGCCTTAGGCACCCCCTGGATGATGGTGCTCCGACTGCTACAAACGCTTATGCAATTACTGATTACGCAGCCAAATACTACAAGGACCTGTTTACATCGGATACCCCAAAACAAATCCCGACGACGTCCGGAAGGCCAGGGATGAACTGCTCCAAACAGTGCATTCACGCTTGACACAGGAGCAGAAATCTGACTTGGATAGGCCGCTAGTGCAGGAAGAGATATGGGATGCCCTGCAGGGCATGGACGATGAGAAGACTCCAGGAATTGACTCCTTCCCGAAAGAATTCTGGGTGTCGTTCTGGGACCTCTTCAAAGATGACCTCATGGATTACATAAAGGCAGTGCAAGAGGGAGGCTTTTTTGGGGGTATGATCAGCCAAGGGGTCACAACGCTACACTATAAAAAGGGAGACAAAGAGGACGTAAAAAATTATAGACCGATCACCCTCCTCCCGGTCCCCTACAAATTGGTGGCCAAAGCCCTCACCATCCGCCTGCTGCCATACATGAATCTGTTGATCCATCCGGATCAAACAGGATTCATGCCGAACCATAACATCCAGAACAATATCCTGCTGGTCAACGAGACCATTAAATATGCACGCCAGCGCAGGGCCCACGCAGCCATACTATTCATAGACTTCGAGAAAGCATATGATCACGTTGATTGGGACTTCCTAGATATGTGCCTGACAAAAATGAACTTCGGCTCCCAGTTTTGTCGATGGGTGCAAATCCTCCACAGATCGGCCACCACAAATATCATGCTCAATGGCCACCTCTCTCCACCCATCCAATTGCAGAGATCAGTCCGTCAAGGGGATCCCATTGCACCGTTACTCTTTGTTATAGTTATGGAGGCCCTTGCTGCGCTGATCAGAGCCCATATGAAAATCAGCAAAATACCGATCCCGGCGATCCTTGATCATCTTATCCCGATGACCTCACGGTCCTCATACGTGCAGATCGAGACAACCTGCAAGCCCTCACCCACACTATACACCTCTTCTCGTTGGCGGCGGATATGAAAGTGAATTGGGGCTCAAAGACAGAGGGCTGGTGGCTCCACCCTCAGGATGAACCTCCGCCACCGGCCCCGTGTGTAGCATGGGCGAAGAAATAAGATGCTATAAGGATATTGGGAGTGAAACTAACAGTGATGGGGCCCCCGGTGGATCATGGAGATCACCTGGTGAACATGGCCATTGTCCGCCTCGCGAAATGGGAGGGGCTGCACACATCGTTGGCTGGACGTGTGCTGATAATCAACAATGTCATCCTCGCTATATGGTACAAGCTAGCGGTGTGGCCGTTGACACCGAAGCAATATACCCGACTGCGGAAAGCGCTCACAACGTATCTATGGAAGAACAGCACAAAAGAGGAAGAGTGCTTGAACAGGGTAGGCAGGGACACTCTCACACAACCGAGATCCGTAGGGGGGATGGGGATACTTGATCCTCACAGGGAGACTGTCACAATGATGTTCAAAGTACTGACTAGACTCCTTGTAGGAAATGATATTCCATGGAGACCTCTGGCCTGTGTGCAGATTGCAGGGCTGGCACCGGAACCGGTGCCCTCAGGTCACATACACCCATTCCAATGGCTGACCAATAACCATTGGTCAATCCCGAGCCTCGCCGACAGACACAAGCCGGGGGTGCATCACGTGCCATCAGGCAGGACATTCACAATGACCCTCTCTGGCCGACCATGATTAAGCTATGGAGAACGACTGACCCCAAGCAAAAGCGAGCACCCAACAGGTGGCATAATGTGTAGAGGTAGCCACTCTTCGGAACCCC